ACCAAATGATACATACTGCGCCACTACCAGGGCCGTTGCTCTACCGCTCCCCAAGCGTATTGCCGGTGCTGTCACGGGCTGCCACTCCTAGTACCTTGCTGCTCGGTCGCGTTCAGTCTAGGTCGACACGCTACCCTGCCGTTCGGGCGCCGCTCACCGCTTCGCAGCGAGCCCGGGCTCTGTAAACATCTCCGTCGCGAGCTGCGCACGCCCCGCGGGTCCGTGTGACTGTAGCTGTATCTCCCAAACATCTCTCACAGCTCAAAGCGATCTCCCCTAATCTCCACGGCTCGAGATTGCACGAGATAAAAACGGCGCTTTCGAGGTGGTTCGCCGGAATCTGGATAGGGGAGCGCGTAGAACGCGCGCTGCTGATGTGCACAGAGCCCGGGATGGCCAGCATCCGCCCTCGTGGTCGCGAACAGCGCCGGTCGGCGCGTGCGGCTCTGGCAGCCGCCCGGCCGCGTCGGAGCTGCAGAGAGCGGCACGCGGCCCGGTGCCGTTCGGGCGCCGCTCACCGCTTCGCAGCGAGCCCGGGCTCTGTAAACATCTCCGTCGCGAGCTGCGCACGCCCCGCGGGTCCGTGTGACTGTAGCTGTATCTCCCAAACATCTCCCGCAGCTCAAAGCGATCTCGGCCTAATCTCCATGGCTCGAGATTGCACGAGATAAAAACGGCGCTTTCGAGGTGGGGCGCCAAGACCTGGATAGCGGAGCGCGTAGAACGCGCGCTGCCGATGTGCACAGAGCCCGGGATGGCCAGCATCCGCCCTCGTGGTCGCGAACGGCGCCGGTCGACGCGTGCGGCTCTGCGTCAACCAGTACGGAGCCCGAAATGCGTCCAAAAGTAAAAAAATCAGCTTTCCGCGCCTCTTCACTGCTCACCGCCGCGCAGGCGTGTTCCGGGGGCCCAGTGGAGCATTTCATCTAGTGGCGGCACCAGCTCTAGAGAAATTTATAATTTCTCAGTGGGGTTTTGACATAGTGGCCGCGTGTCTGACACTTTTCTGTTTTCATGTGGCGTCGCCCACTGCGCTCGTTCCTGGCCCGAGGCGTATGACGGACGGATTGGATGCCAGCACTGTCGGCTGCACAGAGAAAAAAGTGAGGCGGGCAATGCTAGGTTGCGCTTCTCAGCTCCCCGGCCCTGGGTGTGCGGCTGCCAACTGCACTCCAAGTGCTCCAAGCGCTCCTCGGAGAAGGACCACCCGTCCGCTTTTTGTCGCACAACACTGAAAAAAGAAAGAAAACGACAACGAAAAAAATAGGATGGGAGGACGGCACGCCGCCATCAGAAAGGGATTTTAACACCGTTTTTAATTCTTTTCTTCGACGTTCGCCTTCCCGGTCACACGCATTTGCAACCGGAACAGCGGGCGAATGCCCGACTTCCTTTGCCTCCGCTGCTACGCGTGCGGCACCTTCCAGAGCGTCCAGCGAACCGTGCGCCCAAAGTGGGCGTGCAAGGTGTGCACTGAGAAGCAGTCCGTCCTACGCTCGTACTGCGGGAGCACGGTTGCGTCGGATGTGCGGCGCGCCGTGCAAGCTCTCAATCTGGCGCGCGGCCGCAGTGACGCCGCTCTCGCGGCAGCAGTGCTCGACGGCGACGGCGGCGGTGACTCGATCCATTTCGGCGGCGGCGGCGGCGGCGGCGGCAGTTGGGATGGATCTGCGGCAGTGCCGTCATGCGAGGAGCGGGAAGATGAACCTGCTCACCACGGCGGCAGCTACTTCGGCGGCGAGAACTTTGGCGGTGACCACTTCGGCGTCGGCGGAAGCTTCGGCGGCGGCGGCGGATCGTATTCCGGCTGCAACGCGGAGCACACAGCCTGTGTCCACGGCAGCGCGGAGGAGTTTCACTTGGGCGAAGGCGGCGGCGGGTGGCCTTCCTACGGCGGCGGTCCGGGCTGCAGCTACGGCGGGGGCAGCGGCGGTCGCCCCGCCGCCTCCTCCGCCTCTTCTGCCTCGGGCACTGCCCGCGTCTCTCGGTGGGCGAAGTATGCCCAGCCAGCCGCTACGGCGCCGGAGGCGGAGGAGGGCGAGGACGACCCTCGCTACGTGCTCGTGCCGCCGCGGGAGGCTGCGGCCGCGGCGCGCCGCGCGGGAAAGCGAAGCGAGAGGGGAGGGGGGGCAGGAGGCGGGCAGCAAAATTTGCCGCCGCAAAAGCGACCCCGCGGCGGCGGCGGCGCGGGCGGCGGCGGCGGGCGCAGCGGCGGCGCGGGCGGCGCGGGGTCAGTGTTGCCACGAGTGTGGCGAGTTGCGAGTGGGAGCGTGGCGAGGGGGGAAGGGGCAGCATCGAGGGGGGCGGAGGGCGGGGGGGAGGGGGAGGAGGAGACGGAGGAGGAGGAGGCTGCAGCGGAGGCGGGGGGCACAGCGGCGGCCGCGGCTACGGCGGGGAGTTTGGCGGCGGTGGCTTCAGTGGCGGCGCAGGAAGCGGCGACGGTGGCGGCAGCTGCGGCCGCAGCTGCGGCGGGGAGGAGGAGGGCTTCGTGACATCGCTGCAGGACGAGGTGGTGGAGGAGGAGTGGTGCTGAGGACATGGACACTCCGCCATGAAGCCAGTGAATACGCGAATCTGGACATGGAACCGTTTGCGTGTTTTCGAGACGAGATGCGGCGGCCGTTGCGCCCTCGTTCTCGCGCATCGCTGTCACAGACTCTCCGTCTCTGTGTTGACTGATGAGGTGATGTGCGTGGGGGGTTTTCACACTTATCTGTTATCACTACAAAAAAATTGCTTTAGAAGAAAAACGACGAGCACGCATATTCTCCCCCCTCCATTCTCTCCCCCTTGGCGCGGGCGCCCCACTCCCCCCAGCCCCTGTATCGCGTACTAGCTGTGGCTACCGTAGGCCACACCGTTGCGTCGCCGGGGGTTCCCTGCCCTAGGTGGGAAGCTGGCCGCCGATCCTAAGACCCATCGACCAGGGCTTGCTAGAGATCGCGCGGGGTGAATGAGTGATGAAGTTAGTGCCTTGGTGCCTGTCCCCCATGGTGGCTTCCCCTGATCTCTCTCACTTCTAGGGTACTCCCTCGTCGTGGCGCTCCCTTATCCCCCCCCTCATCCCTCCCCTTTCTCTCTCCGAGATGACCCGTGCGCTACGTGCCAAGGTTCGGTCCTCGGGGGGGGGGGGGGGGGATTGGCGGTGTGTCATCGTGGGTTGTTTGTCGATGGACGCCCAACAGTTTCGATTTCCCTCCTTAGGCTTAGCGCCCCGGGTAGAGCGTGGCCTCCCCTGGAGCCTGCCACGCCCGTTCTGTCTAAGCCCAGGGTTCAGCTTTCCAGTTGATCCTTATCGGACTGGTGAGTTCCGTCTAGCTGTCAGTGTGGCGTCGCAGGCAGTCGTTGGCGGCGGTGCTACACACACTATGCCTGCATTCGTTTTCTCACAGAAGTATACACACCACGCTCTGGGTACTACGGGCGAAAAAATAGGCGCGCTCGCATTGTGGTTTGTGGCGGGCGGCCCGGTCCACGGTCCACAACACATCAGAGGGACCCTGTTCAGCCTCAGGGAGCCTCCACAGGCTATAGCGGCGCGAGTTGGTGTTCGTTGTCCGCACTTGTCTCGTGACGTGTGCGCGGGCCCTCGCGGCAGTCGCCGGCTAGGGTGCGTGCCTGTCCGCGACATTGCCGTGCCGAAAACTGGGTGGTGAAATGTACATTTGCATGCTGCTGGCGGTGCGGGAAGAGGCAAGAGCTCATGGCCGTCCCCGTTCTGCAATGAACGACTCGACTGCAGCGAACGGCGCGGTAGGAAGAGCTTCAATAGCTGTGCAGCAGTTGGTCTGCGGGTAGGATGCTCGAGCAAGAGAGCGCACGGGGCGGTGGGCGAAATCCGCAGGGTGCTGCACTCCTCAGCGCAGAAGCGTCACCTAGAGCGTCACCGCTCGCCGATTTGAGGAGCGAGGTGGAGCGCGAGGCGTCGAGGTTCTCGTAGGTGCGCTCGAGGTCGCTGAGGTTCATTACTTTGGTCTTCTCCGCAGCAACCCCTCGAGGGCACTTCCCTGGCTCTCCAATGTTCTCGAGCACATACGCAATAGCCCTGCGGGTCGCCACCTCCTCCTCCGTGCCCAAGAGAGCTTGGACGGATTCGCGGCAGAGGTCCGACAGCGTCGATACCTCCGGCGGCTCCGCCAGCCGCCGGCGTGGGCTCGCACGGTCGTCTTTCGCTCTGTCCGCGGAATGCCCGACCATGTATCTGCCTGCTCCTCGGCCTGGAACGTCGGTCCTGTTTCCGGGAGCGGCGTGCGTTACAACTGACAACTTTCGATGGTTTCATGTCGGGATTGCAGTATCGTATTCCCCTGGCTTCGACGCTATATCACTTTCTTTTTGGGGGGGGAGGGGAGACCCGCTCCAGCCTTCTGGAGGACGCGCTCTGGGGTGAGTCCACCATATCTCTCTCTCTCTCTCTCGCTCGGGTGAGTATGTATCTCTCTCTCTCTCTCTCTCTCCCCCCCCCCCCCCTCTCTGGTACGTACTTGTAGCTTACTGGGAGAAAAGGGAGAGGGGTTGTGTTCTGGGTATGTTCGTAAGAGCCGCTACATATACACACAGAAAACGCAACCTCTCTGGGGGGGCGCGGGGGCCCTAGAGGGTATCCATGCGGGGGGGGGCGATGGGGTCCCATGGCCCGCCGCAGGCGCCGATTATTTTTTCTTTTTTGCGCGATTTTTCACCTGTTTTCATGGGAATTCGGCGTACTTGCGGCCATGCTATCACGCCTTGCGACAGCCTGTCGGCGCTGCTGACCGTGCCATGCTGCACAATTGATCACCTGCATAGCTCGCGGCCTTAGTATCAAGCATTCAGTGACGACCTGATCGTACGGCCAGTAGGAAGGTGTCCTTCCAACGTGTGCACGCTTCTGGCGCAATGCGCGTCGCCTCGGATTGGCTGCTGGCACTATCGAGGCTATGCCTACACAGCCTCACGCGCATGGGCAGTCAAGAGGGACCACGCACCTTCTCAGGACAGCGCCGGTGCCTCTCTCTTGGACCGGCAAACGTGGTGGTCTCGTGTCACCGATGTGGGACCAGTGCGGCATCGCGCCATCGACAGCTCTGAACTGCGCCTCACCACTGACCGGGAAGGCCGCCAAGTGGGCCAGCACCGGTCGCACATTGTGGCAGCAGTCAGCAGTGCATGTCTGATAGCTAGAGCAGCAGCGTCAGGGTCTCGCAGGGTCGGATCGTGTCAAGCCTCTCGCCCGGCCGGCCGCGTGCAGACGTCGGCCTGTCACCCTGTCTGCTGTCTGGAGTGATCTGTCGGCGGTCAGTACGACCGATCAGGTCGGAGTTTGCTGATGATTGGAGGGTCTATCTGTATCTACTCCTCGAGATCTCTGCAAAATCTGCCCTCTACTCAACCGTACTCATTCGGGAAGTCGGTGCTAACGGAGACTAACGGAGCCGGAGCCCCGTCGTTCCGCACTGCTGCGCCGGGCGCACGGTGCCTCCGGGGGCCCCCGCGCCCCCCAGAGCGCAACCTATCGCTAGATACAAGAAAACAACCCCGAGAAACCTTCGGAGTCACTCCTCATCGCAAACCGTCAGCAGTTTACATCACCTTCGAGTATTCGGTATACAAAATAGGGGGATGCGCCTCAAAACCTCGTTGCAGCTCTAAACCACGAACGTGTTTCATTCGTCATGGTGAGCCTGGACCCGCACCCGCCGCCCCTCTCGGCCGCGCCCTACCTGCCGACTGCGACTGCGACCGCGATCCTCGCCCAACCTTCCGCGCCGCCAGCCGGAACCTGGCTGCCGCTGCAAAGCTGAACGGCGGCTCGGCGTCACTCCATTGCGCGGCAGCGCCCCCTTGCGAAGAGAGGCGGCGCGCTGACTGCCAATGGTGCCTCTCCGGCCGCTGCGGCGCCTCACCGTCAGCACTTTTGAGCGCTGCGAGCTCGCTCTGTAGGCTGCTCACCTTCTCAATCAGTAGCCGGAGCATCTCGCCGTCGGTGGCTGTGTGGTCGAGCGATCGGTCGGGCGCCACGTGGCCCGAGCGACGAAGAATGCCCGCCAGGGCGGAGCGGCAGCAGGCAAACAGCAGGGATAGCAGGGCCACCCCGCCGCAGATGTAGAATAATCCTGTCATCGACTCGACGGAAATCGTCTGGGCGTCAGTCAAGGGCGCAGAGCAGGTCTCGCCAACACGGAAAGACGTCTCGACAAAGGCGCGGCCGGCCGGGCTCTATGAACAGCGGGGTGACGGTGTGGGCGTGAGAGTGGATGAGACAATGGAAGGAGTTAGAGTGGAGTGAGACAATGGAAGGACGAGCGGGCCTGGTCAATAAAGGCCAGCGCAGCGGAGATCTGAGCTGCCAGCCTCTTCTCATCCTCCCTGAGGAGAAGCTTGAAGCTCACAGGGATGATGTCGACGAAGGAGAGAAGCCTAGTTGTCTCGCAGCGTTGGAGGTGCTGGCTCTGAAGGTAGTAGCGATTATTCACCCACGCATCGCAGGTGCCGGTGCGAAGGTGCTCGAGCGCCACCTCTGCCTCGTCGGTCTTGTCATGAATTCCACCGATGCGGACAACGCCGCTCACGTAAGGGTGGATCTGAGAAGCCAATTCTCTGGCTATACAGACGACGGAGGCCTTGAAGCCGTTTGCATCCTTCGGCCCACGTATTTCTACATTTGAACGGTTGAAAAAGGCAGCCAGGTTGGCGGTGTAGCAGGAGCCCGTGACCAGGACGAACGCGAGCAGCGAGAGCCTCAGTAGCCTCATTGGCCCGCTGATCCACTCGTAGTCCTCGCCGCCAAAGCAGGCGGAGACGGTATGATACGAGGAGGAGACCATGTTGGTCAGTGGCGCCGTAGGGTTGCGCCTAGAGCAACGGCTGAGCGCGCCAGATAGGAGGACGAGAAGCATAGCATAGCCGAGCAGGGCGGAGACGATCGCGACCCAGAGCTTGTTGTCAAACGGTTCAAACAGCTGCCAGATCGAGGGCGGCCGGGTGGTCGTGTGCACGAGGGCGCCCATACTGGTAGTAATTAGTGAGCTCGTGTAGGCAAATCGCGGGTCGAGCAGAAGCGATGAGAGGTTGTGGGAGGGCAGGTCGCTGCTGTCACTGATCAGTTCTGTGTCAAGCGTGCCACTCAGCACCCCGCCGGCAGGTGACCAGGCATCACTGATGCCGTCCTTGTTTCGGAGCCATGGATTGATTGTGGGTACTCCGACAAGTTCGTACGAGAAGCCGAGCTCATCGGACAGCATCTGGATTCGGTCCGCAAGGTAGCCAGACCACGTGCGGGTCGCATTGTCGTAGCTGTTGATCGGCGCAAGCGAAAAGTTCCAGATGCCGATTCTCAAGTGCCGGTCGACACAGCATCGGTAGGCGGACGAGTGCCGCGGCTGCGCTTGCGCCACGGCCAGCATCGCTATCACACGCCGCATGCCGGCGGACAGTCGGGCCGTCCAAAGTCGCACCTTTCCCGCAGCCGTCAGGTGTGGAGGGCGCATTAAAATTCTTCCGTGTACGTAGACTACTTTTAGCTTAATGGAGAATTTTACAACAAAACTCCCTCGCACAACACTTAATGGAGAAAAGGGACCCGTTGTGGCGGTGGCGACGGTGGTGGAAACGGTGGTGGAAACGGGGGTGGAAACGGGGGTGGAAACGGGGGTGGAAACGGCGGTAGTGGTATCGGCGCTAGCGGCGGCGGCGGCGGCGGCGGCGGTTGCGGTGGCAGCGGAGGTGGCAGCGGCGGTGGCAGCGGCGGTGGCAGCGGCGGTGGCAGCGGCGGTGGCAGCTGCGGTGTTGGCGGCGGAGGGGGGGGAGGAGTTTGCGATGCCGATGGCGGGTTGCGATGGCGGCTGATCGAGCTAGTATTAACAGCTAACAGATCGAGCTAGTATTCACGCAGATCGCGAAGCCGGCCGAAAGCTCAGTTCAATCTTCGTCTGCAAGGGAGACACCGTGGTCCGCAGTGAGTGCAGCGAAATCAGACCCGCGACCTCTTTTTTCGTCTCCCCCGGCCTGGTGCCTGAAAGTGAAGCGCGCCCCGGTCCCGGTGCGGCCGGTGGCGACCCGCATGATGGAGCGTACGTATTTTTTATTCATTTGTGCTGCGCCGGGCCACACATTGCTATAACCCTATAACGGGTCCCCCGCGGGCGACACCATTTTGGTCAGAAAGCTGGCCCGCCGAGTGGTGGCCGGATCGACAGGTTGCCGCTGCGCACTAGAAACAGCTCAGCGAGGCCGCGAGTCTTTACGCCGGCGGCGGCGAGACATCCGCAGCGTCGCCGCCACAGAGCTTCGAAGAGAGCTCGTCCTCCGCCAGCACGGGGAGCGGCTCGGAGTTCCCGTGCACCTCCCCGAGCGAGTCTGCGAGCTCCTTCGCCTTGCCGGCCGGCGACGAGACGACGAGGACGGCAGACGCCTCGAAGAGCGGGGTGAGGTGGGCCGAGAGGGCGCGGAGGGCGTCGGCGGCGGTCACCTCCTCCACTTTCGAGAGCAGCCAGCCGGTGTAGTCCGCCTGCACGCCCGTGTAACCCGCGGCCCACTGCGCGCTGACCGCCGCCGGCTTGTTCGACGTGCTGGAGATCAGGTTGTACGTGAGCGACGACTTTGCGCCCTCGAGGTCGACCTGCGACAGCGTCGCCGCCCCGGACGCGTACTCGGCAATGATCTCCTTCGAGGCGGAGTAGGCCGCCAGCGCGTCGCCGCAGCGGTAGAGCGTGAGCTGCAGCCGCTCGCTCTCCGGAAGGTTGTATAGAGAGGCTCCGTACGTCAGGCCGGCGCCGCGCAGCCGCACCCAAAAGTCGCCCTCTAGCGCCGTGAGGTGCTCGATGGCCACGCGCAGCGCGGCGACGTCCGGGTGGTGCGGGCCGACT